TGTTGGCTAGCCAGCCCCACTACTGGTCAGTGACAATCCCTTCTTCTCTCCTCCTCCGCTGTGCTACCCAGCCTACAGTCCATCACAGGCAGGGAATTAGGCCTGCAGATAGTATGGAGGACTCTGAAGCTCCCACCCATGTGTGCTGGGGAGCCCTGTCTAGGACTCCTCTTGCCCTGCCTGGCACACTTGGGAGCTGCCTTCCAGGGGCCCTGGTGTTCTTCCCAGGCCAGACAGCAGGTAGCAGCCAAGGATACCCCTGTGCCCAGCAATGCTTCTTCAGCTCTTCAGGGGTAGCCTGGCCCCTGTGCCAGCCACCATGCAGTCAGTCACAAGGACTATCAGCCTGCCGGGTAACTATCCCACTGCCCCCAAGGTGATCAAAGCAAGGCTGAACTTGGGCTAATTGAGGGGCTTGTCTGAAGTCTGTCTGATTGGAAGCTCTTTCCTGAGAGCTGTGTGTCCCAGTCCATGAGGAACACCACAGACCCCACACTTCAAGACTCAGATGTGATGGGACATGCGGAGTAGATGCTCCTCCTGGGGCTGTAGGTCTTAAGATGAGCTCCAAGGGACTCCAAGGGAGGAGTGGGAGTACCAGGCTGCAGGGCTGTCCCCAAGGGACGGGGTGCATAAGCAGGGTCTCAGCCTCTGGCAGAGACCCCTCAGAATCTCTAGGGAGGTTTACATGCAGAAGGCAGGGACATCCTGCCCTGTGCCAACCAAGACTGCCTTCCTCCTCTGTAAAGAATAAGAGTAACTACTGTGTTACTCCTCTGACATGGCTGTTGTGTTAATAATATTTATCAGTCATACTGGGTTATACCAGGTGCTCAGTAAGTGGGAAAAAAATCTCTCCATTCACACCCTCAAGAAATACATGCCCAGCCCCATGCTAGGCACAGACACTGTGTGGGGACCACAGACCCATCCCAGAAACAGAAAGGCAAGGCCCAGACCTCGGACCCACCACAGTGGTTCCCCACCTCTCCCTGAGTGGCACTCGGCAGTCCCTGCCATCACTACACCGGGCCTCCAGTCTCCAGTGCTCCATCCAGGTGGAGACCCAGCATCCCCACAGCCACAAGTTCCTGACAGTCCATCTCCGTCTGTTTCCAAGCTGTCACTTCATAGGCAAGTCCCCAAGGTCCTTGCTGGGCAATGGAACAGCCTGCTGCCCTATTTCTGAGAGAGTGTCAGAAAGGGACAGGAGAGGCACGAGTGCTCTGTGGCCCAGCCCAGAGCTCAGAGTAGTTGTTCCAGACAGGCACAGGACATCTCCAGACCACAGGAGGAGCCTGGGGCCCTTGCCAGGGTGTCTGCAGAAGGGGCAGAGGGACACCATGCAGGCTCTTTGGGCCCCAGGACCAACCCCCTCGTATCCACCATGGATCTCCCCAGACCCTGGAACCTCAGCTTGTCCAGGCCGGGCCAGGCTGCTGCCCTCTCCAGGATCCAAGCCCTTGGCCTGGGGTTCCAAAGAAGCCAAAGCTATATACAAGGTTTCTATGTAACTCAGAGCTGCTTCTGACGCACGGCAGAGGCCCATCCAGGGGAATCGGTCTGGGGCCACTGGCGATGGATGGGCTCATAACAAGTAATGCCCAGGTCTTTATGAGTAGCCCTGCCGCAGCCCTGTCCCCAGCCTGCGTAGGCAGCACACAAGTGTCCCGTGAGTGACTTCATGGAAGGGCTTTCAGCTCAGCAAGCAGAGCCCCCGATGTCTCCAGAACAGTCAAAGGAATGGCAAATTCTACCTTCTGCAGGTCAGAAGGGGTCGAGGATAGAGTAATTGGGTGGCTGAGGAGATGCCATCATGGAGTCAAGAGCAGGACCCTGAGGCCCCAAGGGCTTGGGAGAGGGACAGGTAGCCAGCCCCTCCCCTAACCCTCAGTTTCCCTAGTTGTGCCAGGGGAGGAGCTGGCCAGCTGGGTTTCATTGCCAGCGAGTGGTGCAGGCATGAACAGGGAGGGCTGAGCTGGCCACTCAGACTCCTGCAGTGCCTACCCCTCCCTGGAGTACCATCTGGGTGGGGAAGCTGGTGCTGAATGACTGTGCCCCGGGATGCAGAGAAAGTGACCCTCGCAGTAGAAAGAGGCTATCACCGACCCGAGCCAGCCAGTGCCTGGTCCTGGGCTCCCCAGAACTCTGAGAATTACAGATCCAAGCCAGTGAAACATCCAGGTCATTGAGTATAGAAAGCAGATAAGGGTGCCCTCTTAGAAGAAGGGGGATGTTGGAAATGGCACAGAGAGGTCAAGAGCAGGGCCCGGGACCAACCAGCAAGTCACAGGCCCAGAGCAGGGACTAGAGTGGTATAGGGCAGTGCAGGCTAAATTCATGGTGACAGTGAAGCTTACAGGCTGCACACAGATGGGGGACTCTGTTCATACCGAGAGCTGTTCCTGAAGGTTCTTCTGATTATGCCTCCTGAGCCTGCCCCAGAAGAGACAGCAGAGGCAGTAGTGGGGTTGATGGGGCCCTGTGGTGTGACAAAGCCAGCCATGCTGTTGTGAGACCTCTTGCTTTCTCTCGGTGAGCAGCAGGAACACTACTCAATTAGAGCAATTAAATCACCCCAGGGCCTCAGCTCAAACCACCGCGTGGGCCAGTGGTTAGGCCCACAGCAAGGCTGATCCCAGTGCTTCCTGCAGAAAGACAGATGGGTATGGACCAGAGCAGGGGGCCTGATACTTTCAGCAGCCCAGAAGCCTAGTGGGAGGGAGGCCGAGAACCCAGTGGAATCAGCCATAACACCCTGGGCTGAGGAGACTCCGGGATGGGACACCACAATGTCATGGGGCCCCCTTTCCCAGCAGTGCTTGCAACTCCCCAGAGCCCAAGCTGGCCAGGCAGAGGTGGGGCCAGAGGTGGGGCTTTCATCCTATAGAAGCCCTCTCAGGTGATCTGAGCTGGACCCCATCCCAGTACTCCTGAGTCCCTACTGGCCATCGACACTGAGCCACACCCACTCTTCTCTGTGTCCTCTTTCTCCTCTGAGAACATGGTGACCACAAGTTGCATTCCCCGCACTCAGGCCCTCATGGGGGCATGAGGATCAGATTTCCAGGGTGACACACACACTTGGCCATTGCTGTCCCCTTGTCGGCCTGCTACCAGTTCCCTGTGATTCAGATCTACCTTGGGCCTACAAAGCTCTGGAGGCTTGGGGTTGCTGCTGAGGAAGCCCTGTGGATGGTGACTTCCAGATGAGCCATTGTCCTGGAGTGCACTGTGTCCAGCATGGATGCATTCAGACTAAAAGGGGATTAGGCATCACCTGAAGCTGGTGACCATGGGTGTCCTATGCTCAGCTTGCTGGGGCTCCCGATCTCAGTCATCCTCCCTTTGCCACGCACGAACCCCAGGGCCACACAGCCCTGACAGATCCCAACCTGTCACCCACCAGCTGTGATGTGTGGACTGTTGGTTTCTTTGCCATTTCCATCTTCCCATCTCAGAAGTGAAGCTTATCACAGGCTCACTGGTAGTGACCCTGAGGTGGGAGCTTTTGTCTCACTCTTCAGACAAGGGGCTCTGAACACTGGCTCCATGTGGGGCATCTGGAACAGCCTGGCACATGGACTGATGTGTATGCCCCACACAGGCTGTTTCCAGCTTGCACCAGATCAAACATCACCTCGCTGGGCCCCCCTACTTGTGGCATGGACCCTCTAGTGCTCAATTGCAGTGTGGTTGTCAAAGCTTCTCCCTGTCACCTGTTCCTAAAAGGCACCCAGATGATGGCACACAGGGTCCAGAGACACACAGAGTGCTTTCAGTGCTGGTTTCTGGGAAGGATGTATCCACAGTAATGAGAGGAGACCAGGGTGACAGGTCCCCTAAACGTCCACAAAGCAAATGCCACAGGTCCTTCCAAGCCAGTGTCCTGTCCCTTTCCGCCTTGGCTGGAGCCCACCCCCCTCCCTGAGCACAAGCAGGGGAGTGGGCTTAGCATAAGGGATGCTAATTTCAGATGGCCCTAAGGCCCAAGGCTACAGTCTCTGGGGCTATCATGCTCCTCTTCTCTGTGCCTTGTTAGGCCCTTGAAGAGACAGTGACCCAGGATGAAGACACCAGCACAGAACGTGGCCGAGAACATGACTGAGCTTCCCCATCAGTGTGCTCAGCGCCCAAAGCTATGCAGGCCCCTCTGTGGGCTCAAGTAGCTTCCGATGGAGGACAGAGAGAGTGATCTCTGGTTTCCAAACATCTGGGTGACACTCACTGCGCAGTCTGTGACAGAATTTCGGGGAAAGCCCAGCAGCCCGGGCAGTCAGACGGGCCTTGCCGTATGGCCCAGGCCCAGTGAACGCCTGCTACTCTCCAAAGAAACTGAGTTATTATGATTACTAATATGATTAAAGAACAATCTCAGACGACATTGACATCCAGGCATTGCAGTGTGGGGAGGGTCTCACGGAAGCCCCCAGGGCTTGCATTTAAGCTTTGCCGAGTGCGCTTATTTTAATTAGTTTACACTTCATCCTGAGCTCTCTGAAAATCCTCCCGGGCAGCTTTTTGGTTGTTTTAGCTGTCACGATAGACACTACAGCCTCCTGCCAACAATAATTCAAATGCCAATGCTGCTGCTGCTTGAGTCTGACCACACCGGTTCCCTGCACGGCAGACCTGAGTCATTAATTCAGTGAGCAAAGAGCCTCTGGTATAATTTCACAAGCAAAAAATAAATAAATAACAGTACATTCGCAACTGGGCCAATTGTATTAGAAATCCCCAAGGCTTAAAGCAGGTTCCTGAACATTGTTTGGATGGTGGACAAATTCATGAATATTAGAAAGAATATGAATTAACCTTCTGGTGGTTTTCCCGAAAATGCCTATGTCTGGAATTTTGTTGAGTTCAAGTGTGAATTTTTTTAAAAAAGGACCTCAGGCCAATTGCATTATAAATTATAACCATATTACTGGTGCTTAAAGATGGTTCTTGGCCATTTGGCCTTTGGGTTCCACTAAAATTACTTTCCTTCTTCTCTTTAGATGGGCTGTGATGACACCAAAAGTAAGCAAGAAAAGAAATTTCAAAGCTACAAACCCTAAAGCCCAGCAAGACAGGCACATGCAGCCCCTGCTGCTGTAACAGGTATGTGTAGGAGTCAGTTTCCCACCACTGTGACAAACACCTGAGGTGATGGACATGAAAGGGGAAAAGGCTTTCTGCTTCTGATTCTGGAGGTTTTGGTCCATGGTCTTCTGGCCTGTGACAAGTTCTGGATGTTCTTTCCAAGAGCATCTTTGCTGCTGTTTGGAATTAAGATGGAAGCCAAGATTAGTTAGGGCTCTTGGGCCACAGGCAGCAAAACCCTGGCACAGGGACAGGAAGGAAATTGGATTCTGGGGTCTAGGGTTGGAAGGGCAGGGCAGCAGCACCAGAGCCCCTGGAGCTCAGGAGAAACAAGCAGTCCTTGGCCTTGTCCTGAACATCACCTCCATACCAGCCTGGAAGCTTAGCTACACAACTTGACTCTGTACCCCAAGACTGAACATGGCAGCAGGGAAAGCGATTCTTCAAACTCAAGGTTCTTACTGGGGGGATTAGGGAGTGGAGTGTTCAAAAATCACAGCAGATTCCTGCAGATAGACAGCAGGGCTTTTACATGTCTCTGAGATTTCAGCTTTCAGTCTGTACCAATCCCATTTTGATCTTGAAGTGGAAGTATAGGACCCCCAGGATTCCTGGTTCATTATCAGTCATGGCCAGGTTCAAAATCCCAGTTCTCAGGACATGAGGAGACCCCTATACTATCCCGGAGGATGCCAAGGACAGAAAAATCTGTTTACAGTGGCCAAAGCCACTAAGCTCCCCCTCAGCCCTGACAACAACCCTCACAGTAAGTGGGTCTGTCATCCAGGACCCAGCTAACCACTGCCCACCCTGCCATCTCCCCAAAGGTGGTCATTGCTGCTTGTCCTTGCAGAGCAAATACATCCACATTATGGTTGAACTCATTCCCCTCAGAATCTACAAGTTGATGTCCTAACCCCAGTGCTCCACTGGGAGTAAAGATGAGGTTCTTAGGTGGGTCCTGATCCAGTCTGTCTCAGGTCCTCATAAAAGGGAAATATGGACACCTAAACCAGAAGCAAAGGAAGACAAGGTGAAAGCACAGGGGTCACAGCCATCTGTACCTCAAAGAGGGAGACCTGGAACAGGACCTCCCTCCAAGCCTCAGAAATCCCCAGTCCTGCTCACACCATGACTTTGGACTCTGACCACTGCTAGTACTCAGAGACGATACCATACTGGTCATGGGTGCATGGCCTGATGTGAGACTGACAAAGCCATGTCCTCAGCTTCTGTCTGACTGTCACACTCAGAGTAAGAATAAAGGGCCCCACTCAATGGACACCACACACAAGGCCTTTCCCAGATGTCTGGCTGTTTCTGCCCCTTGAACTAGAATCCTAAGCTAGGGCAACACTAGCTGCAGGCAGTCTGTGGTGCAAGTGTTTGGCTTTCCTAGGAGGAGGCAGCAGGTGGAAGAGGAGGAGTGTGAGAAACAGGCATAGCTGAGGATCAGAGAGGTTCACTTCCCACACCACTCCCAGGGCCACTGCTGTCCCTTCCTGTGAACATCTGATAAGCTGTGTTTTCTTGAGTGTGTGCATCCCAGGCAGCAGGTGACCTGATATTCAAAGCAGGGCCCCAATATAACCAGTCTCCAGGACGAAACAGGAAGAGGAACAGACAGCACAGCAGCTTTTCCCCTTGTGGTGACATGGGAGTGCAATTAATGCTGGCCCCAGTGGATACTGAACCCCAGCAGCCAGCAACAGCCACTCAGGGGACCTCGTGGAGCCAGACATAACCCTCACAGCGTTGGGAGACGTCACCACCCTTCAGAACACCAGCTGATATTATGAAAGGCAAATGGGGGAAGTTGTGCCACCTGGTCAGTTGCTGCAGCCGTGAGCAGGGCACTGGGGACAGGGTCCTTAAAGGATTAACAGCACCCTGCTGGACTCTCACTGTGCCCCCACATGACTCCTCCCAGGGTCAGTCAGTGCTCCTCCTCAGAATGTCTCACTAACTCAATACCTGCCCTCTGCCCTGGTCATGTGCCATTCTGAGCTTTGGAGGCGTGTGTCCCTCATTCCACCCCCACTCTGGCATGCTCAGCATCCCAGCAGAAAGAAGCACCCTTGGGATCCAAAAGACACTGTAGTGTGCCCACCCCATACCCATAGGGTGGATTCTGTATAAAAAATAGGAAATACCAGAGGCCTGTGAGGATGTGGGGAAAGTGGAACATTGAGGGAGAATGCAGAGTAGTCCAGCCCCAAAATGGTCTGGCAGGCCCTCAAAAAAGTAAACAGAGAATCACCGTACCACCCAGCAATCCCACTTTGTACAGAAGAATGGAACCCAAAGAATTGAAAGCCAAGTCTCAGAGATATTTGCACATCCATGTTCACACAGCACCATCCACAGTAGCCAGAAGCTGAAAGCCACCCAACTGTCCACCAGTGGGTGATAGACATACATGAGGTGCGGTCCTCCCTGTCCACGGGGCCCTGTCTCAGAATGGACCTAAAACATCTAAAAGGTTCTGCAGTGAACAAGTACAGATGTTTTTCCTGTCACTCTTCCCTAAATAATGCATTAAAAACAGCTATTTATATAGTATTTACATTGCATTTAGCATTATCAGTCTCAAGAAGATTTAAAGTATATGGTAGGATTGTGTAGTTTACATGAAAATGCTACACCTTCCACACAAGAGACTTGAGCGGTATCCATTGAGGGGTCAAGGATTAATCCACACAGATACCAGTGGATGACCCTCTGTGGGTACACATAGATATAGGAGGGGAGGGAGAGGGAGAGGGAAGACACACACACACACACACACACAGAGAGAGAGAGAGAGAGCACATTAGAAGAAAGGGATAGGGATATGGCTAGAGATATACATGTATAACAGATAAGATTTGCCTTGAAAAGGAAGGAGATTCCAAAACACCCTACTACATAGATAAGAAAACCTCAAAGACTTTATGCTAAATAAACCAGAAACAAAAGGTCAAATACTGTTCACTTCCCTTCTTACAAGGATCCTAGAGTAGTTAATTTCAGAGACAGAAAGTAGAAGGGAAGATGCCAGAGCCTGGGGGAGACTGTGAGGAGCTGTTGTTTCGTTAATACAGAGCTTCAGTTCCCCAAGAGGAAGCAGCCTGGAGACGGACAGTGGTGTAGACAGCATGGGTGTAGCCAGTATGACTCAGCTGCCCACTCAAAAATGGTTAAAATGGCAAGTTCTATACTGTATCTAATTCAGGACAATTTTTTTTAGACAGAAGATAATATAATGAAGGGGTTCAGCAGGAGAACAGGCAGAATTCAGGAGAGCCCAGGGATGCAGAGTTATTCAGTGACAGTGGGGGCTGCTCTCCCTGCCCCAGAGAGGGGCTGCAGCCACAACCTGACACCCTGCCCACTCCCAGGCACCAGCTCCTCCACAGGCCACACCCAGGGCTATCAGAGTGTGCTGGCCCTGATGTGCAGGCTATGGGAACCGTGTTCTCCTGCAGGGAGATCCCTCCATGAGGGACAACAGCAAACACAGAGCCCAGCAGTCCCTAAGCTGCAGTGCTTATGGGATAATGTGGGGACAGACAACAACAGGTCAATCTAATTTTAGGTCATGCTCAGTATCAGGATAATAAATCAAGTGGTGGAGGAGACGGCGGGGAGGGGGCGGAATCCCATGGGCTGTGAGGGAACTTACAAAAATGAAAGTTGGCTGGCTTCAGGCTGTGTATCAGTCAGGGTTCTGCAGAACCAAACCAACAGTATGTGTGCAGGAAGAGAGAGAAAGGGAGAGAGGGCGAGAGAGATCCACTTAACACAGATCTACCCTCTTAGCCAATTTCTAAATATTCAGTACAGCATTGCTAGCTGCATACTGGACAGCAGACCTCTAGGATTTACTCACCTTGCAGACTCCAAACTTTGAATCCTTTGCCAATGTCTCCCTGGCCCCTACCCCAGCCCCTAGCAGCCATTGTCTCCTCTCTGCTTTGAGGTGTGTTTTAGATCCCTCACACAAATGGTTTCACATGTGTTCTTCTGTGTGTGGTTTATTTCATTTAATGTGAGCACCCTGGCGTTCATCTGTGTTGTGACAAAGGCCGAGATACCCGTCTTTCTTCAAGGCTAGTTGATACTCCACTCCGTGTATATAGTGCCCTTCCTATTCATCTGCCCATCCATGGATGTTCAGAATGCTCCTGCGTTCTGCTACATGGAACAGCACTGCTAAGAACAGGAGCACAGATAGCTCCTTTAAGACTGATTCCATCAGTTCAGCTATATACACGGAGAGGGAACTACTGAATCACAAGGTATTGAGGTTCTCAGGGTTCTGAGGGCCCCCATACTGTTTCTATGAGGCTGCTGCACATTCCCCTCAGCAGTGTGCAAGGTTCCTTCTCCCCCACCTCACCACACTCATTACCTTGCTTTATATGTAAAGCACCCTTACAGGCAAGCGCTTTCAATTTGAGTTTCCCTGATGAGTGAGGATGCTGTGAATACTTTTTCCAATACTATTCGTGTCTCTTCTCTTGAGAAATATCTCTCCAGTTCCTCTGCCAATTTATAGTTGAGTTATTTGCTTTTGTTTTGTATTTAGTCTTTTTGCTATTGAATTATATGAGGTCCTTATATATTTTTGGATATTAATCCTTTATTAGTAATACACCTTCAAATAAATAGTCCTTTCCATTCTGAGGGTTATCTTTTCTATTTATTAATTGTTTGCTTTGCTGTACAATAGCTTCCTAGTTTGATGTGGTCCTGCTCGGCCAGTTTTTGTTTTCACTGCCTGTGACCTCTCAAGCGGGCTCCCCTTACAACTCTGCTGATTAGATGGGGATCTCCTGCATCAGGAGGAAAACCTGCCTAGAGCTTCTTGACTCTAAGGTCAATCATATCTAAAAGACAGTGTCTAGATGAGCACTGTACTGAAAACTGGCTATCACTGGCCAGCCGGCTTGGCTCATAGAATCAATCATCGCCGTCACCTTGCCCACCTGGCCCAGCAGAAAGCTCACACCGTGACTTCTTTCTTTTGCAGAGAAACAAAAAAGTCCATGCTTTGCACTTGAAACTGGTCCACGGGAAGCTCCAATTCCGTGGGAAGTGGGCTGCACCTACCCTCAACAGAATTGTCACCCAAAGTCCCCAGCTGACAGGGACATGCAGGGCAACAAGAAGTGCACAGATGGGTTCAGTGACTCCTCAAGCATTGGCAGCGTGCTGGACGATGCAGATAGGGAGGTGAGCAGCCTCACAGACCGGGCCTTCCGGAGCCTGTGCATCTCCGAGGATGCCTCTTTCCATGACTCCGACCTGGCACTATCCCCAGACATCTCCCGCCAGGGGTTCGGGTCTCTCTACCAAGGCACTGTGAGCCATGCCCACAGGAAGAGCGGCATCTGGAGCCAGCTTCCATCACAAGGCACAGAGCACACGGGCTGGGCGGCCACCTTCCAACAGCTGCCCAAGTATGTTCAAGGGGAAGACAAATACCCCAAAAGCAGCCCCCCGCTCACACCAGCCCAGCAGAGACTAGAGGTGCCAGTTTCTGGCCTGCGGAGCAGTAACAAGCCTGCTTCCAAAGTATCATCCCTGATCAAATCTTTTGACCGAACCAAGAGCCAGCGCTGTGACACCAGGCCTCCTCCCAGCAAGCCTCCAGCTCTCAAGAATCCTCCTAAATTTGCCCCTCTTCCCGACAACAGTGTCAATTTCTGCTTCGACTCTGCCTTTCTGACGGTCAGGAGGGTGCCTGCCGAAGTCTCCAATACTCACCAAGGAAGCCACCAGCCCACCCGGAGCCACGGGGAACAAGGGTCCCCCAAGAACCCCGAGATGGCCCACCATGGGCCCAGCATCTTCCTCCCAAAATTGGAGAGTGCAACGAGCTCATGTGAGTCCAGGTTCCCCTCTCCACCCCACGAGCCCACCAAGATGGAGCCTGGAAGAGGACAGGAGTGGGCACACAAAGGGACCTTTCTGCACAGTGAGAACAGTGCCTTTGAGTCATGGGATGCCCACCAACCCAAGTTGCTCGAGAGAAAGAATGTCACTGAAAGCGTCCCTGAGAGCAAAGTTCCCAAACATTATGAGGACACACCCCCTGTAAGTGAAGCCCATGCTGCACTACACAAAGCCGCTCCCTGTCCAGTCCAGCCCAGCTGCACGCAGGAGGGGAGCAGGTCAGCCTCAGGGGCTCTGTCCATCTCTGGACCCTGGGATGTCAGGGACCCAGGATCCCAGGTTTTTCTCATAGAAGGAAAAGCAGCCAGCTCACATCCTGACCCTCAGGTGAGGACGAGCCAGCCTCCATGGAGAAAGCCAAAGAATGGCAGGGGAAGGAAGGAAAATCTAGCAGATGTTACAGAGGAGCAGAAGCAGACGCACAGGAGAGGCCCTGCTCTGTATGCAAAGCACAACACACAGGCGCACCTCACAGAAAATGACACCATGGACTTGCCTGGGGTCCTAGACCGGCATTACAGCCCTCCTTTCAATATCAGCAAGCTCCTGACCCCCATCATCCCCACCAAGCATGCCCTGGAGTCATCAGGCAGCCAGCCAGAGGAGACCAGCCCATCCCCACCAGGGCAGCTAAACGGATATCAGGAGCAAGCGCCCAGTGAGTGTCCATCGAGAGACAGCTACAAATCTAAAGCACCCAGCCTCCTGTTCAACCTCAAGGACGTGCGGAAATGCGTGAAGAGCACATACAGTCCCTCATCTCTTTCCAAAGGCTTTGATGAGATATCCCAAGGGAAGGCTGATGGCAAACAAGAGCCAGTAAGCAATGGGGTCATGCTTCCCAATGGGCTAGAGGAAAGCCCTCCAAATGACCTGCCTACAGAAAGGCCAGCCGAGGCCCCTACCACCACACATACCGGCACCCTGCACCCTACAACAGACCAGGGTGAAGCCCCTGTGCACAACCTCGGCTCCCCTCCCATGGTCGCCATGGCCCCCTTCTGTGTCAATGGGAAGGCTGCAGGAATGAGTCATGAGGAGAAAGATGCTGTTGATAGGGAGTCAGAGCCAGGCTCTTCCAGGTCCACCTGGCATCCAGACAGCAGGGGAAGAGGCCCCAGGAAGCACCTGTCCCTGAAACTGTGTACCAGGGAGGCCGAGGCCGAGGCTGGGCACACTGTAGAGCAAACCAAGCCCCACCAGCTAGAGAATGGACTTTCACGATCCATTTCCCAGGAGACAGAACCTGAGCATGAAACAGGGCTTTTGAAACCACCCCCAGACCAGAAAGCCTCCCCAGGGCCCCTGTCCCCCGAGGAGGAGGATGTGTTTTACAGTGACTGCCAGTCCGACTTTATGCCGGGCCTCCGCAGGAAGACTAAGTTCAGCACCAGCTCTTCAGATCAATCTTTTGCTTCATTTGATGATCAGCAGAAGACCTGGTTTTCTGAGAGCCAGCAGGAAGACAGGAAGAATGATGTGAGTGCAGGTGACAGTGAGAAGGAGAAGGAGCACGTGACAGGGACAGGCAACATCCTGAGTAACGGGCACACGTGTGCGGGAGAGCACAGCCAGGGCAAGGTGCCACAGAGCACAGGAGGTTTGTGTGCAGGCAGACCCAGAAGGGTATCCACTGAGGAGGCAAATCTCAGTGGTTCTCGGATGGGGAGAAATAGGGATGTGGCCTTTTCACAGGCCAAAGACCCCACCGCCTCTCCATCCCCAGCAGCAAATAAGCACCTACTGTTTGCAATTAAAGACAACACCCTCAGGGCCACCCCCGTGATCAAACCCATCACCTTGCCCCTGCTAAGGACCCTGTCCTCAGAGGACTCGTTCAGAGGGGGCCACAGAGAGGAGGAATCTCCAAGGCAAGGCTGGGGTGAGAATGCTGGAGGTCGCAATGTCATTGAAAGCCGGGAAATGCACACCCTGACACCCTCTAACACACAGGGTGCACACTCAAAGCACACAGCCTTCGAGCTCCCAGAGGATCTCGGGCAGGTGTCCATGGCAGCTAGGACAGACACCTCCCGTCCAGGCCCAGAGGAGACTTTCTCACCCCAGCCACATATGGGAGAGGGCAACAGGATAAAGTCACCCTCAGACAGGGCACCAGAAGTTGCTGGCAGGGATGGGAGGAGCCTGCCCACAGACTGGAGGATGCCCACTGCCCTGAGACACATCCCCACCATTGCTTTCCCAGAGGGTGACCTGGAGGAGCAGTCATCCTGGCAGACACCGGCCATCAGCTGGGAAGAGCAGGCACAAAGTGTCCAAGGCCACTTTCTGTCTGCACCCAGAGCAGGGCCACCAGGGCGGAGACTGGTCCTGGGAGAGACGGCAACATCGCCCAATTCTAGCTCTCTGGGAGAGAGCAGTGCCTGCTCACCTGCTGCCAGCAGCCTTTGGGATGATACCTCTCAGGCACCTGGGGACCTAAGCCTGCTGCCTGAGGAGGCCCCCAGCAGTGCTGGCCCCTGGGCCGCAGGCCCTGCCAGGCTGGCACGGAGGGAGGACCTGACACATGGCCTCATGTGGGAGCTGGACAGCTCAGATCCCCAGTGCCAGCTGGCCACAGAGGACCTCCGCGCACCCTCCCCAAGAGGCTCCTTGCTGGACTTGGCCACCACTCCTGAGAGACCCGAGCCTCCCACTCAGCTGGAGAGGGCAGCAGGGAAGCCCCCTGCAGTGCCCCCCAAAACCGAGAAGGCCCTGAGGCGAGCTAAGAAGCTAGCAAGCAAGCGGAGAAAGAGTGATCAGGTGGCTGAAAGGCTCGGTGAAGCCCAGGAAGGTCTCAAGGGAACAGACCATGGGCCCCGAGCCTTTGGGGAGGGACCCAGGCTCCCCACTGTGCGTGCACTTCCCCCTCCTTCACACCGCCATTCAGTGTTGGGCATTGTAGAACCCATAGGAAAGCGGCTATGGGGGGCCCAGCCCCTGGCACCTCTTCCCCCATACCCTGCCACTCAGAAGGTCCTCCAGGACCCACAGTCCGGAGAGTACTTCGTCTTTGATCTTCCCCTACAGGTGAAGATCAAGACCTTTTATGACCCTGAGACGGGCAAGTACATCAAGGTCTCAGTCCCTGCCTCTGAGGGGACCTCCCCTGAGCCCCCAGGGCAGGATGCCCTGGCCACACCCTATATGCTATACCCCAGTCTCCCGCCAGTGCCTGTCACCACACTGAGGCCCCTGCGCTGCTCTTCCCAGCTCTCTACACCCACCTTTCTGGGGCAGGACCTCCACTCCAGGCCCCACAGTGCCCACAACACTGGGCCTCAGGGCAACACCAGCCCACCCAAGGCCACCCAGCACCCACAGAGACCATTCAGAGGCCCAGAGGATGAGGAACTGGAAGCCCCAGGCCTAGCTATCATCTCCACCGATGACCTGGAGGACTTTGCCACTGAAGGCATTTCTTGAGGGTTACAACGGACTGACCCCCACTCCCCAGAACCAAAGAGCTTACATCCTGTCCCCTCAAACAGGCAGTCTCTCTCTCATTTATACACAGACACAGACACACACACACACACACAGACACAGACACAGACACAGACACACACACACACACACACACACACACACACACACACACACACATCATTTTCAGCCATCTGAGATCCCAAATGTCCAAAGGGAAGTGGGGATCCATTTGCATGGCCCATCCCGTTGCCCCTCCTTGCTCAACCCACACAATCCCTGCTTCCTTTATCCTGCCCAGCCCTAGCCTTGCCCCAGGGCAGTGTAGCTCAGATACTGGGCCCTCAGGGCTGCTGGCTCTGGCAACCCCCAGCCTTTCTCAAGGTGGGCTGGCCAGGGAGGCCGTGAGAAATGTTGAACTCTGCTGTGGGTGGCAGTATCCCACCTGGGGTGGGCTGGCACACAGCATCCGAGCTGCAGATCACCTCAGCAGTCTTGGAGAAATGATGATAAGGATGAGAACTGGCCTCCCAGGGCTGCTTTCTGAAAAAGAGAAGGCTACAATCTGAAAAATGAAGAAAGTTTGCCAATGCAGTTCCCTCCCTGGACTCCTTCCCATCTTTCTTCTGTGGGCATGGGGGTTGTGGGTAGGGAAATTAAGGGTCACATGCCAGCAGTGAGGGCCAAACAGTGCCTGAGGATCCCCTGGTTCCTCCAGGCCCTACTTATGCCTTCCTGAGCTAGGGCCTCCATTAGTGCCAAGGAAGTCAAATGAGAAAGCCCCAAGCCTGCCATCAGGGATGCCCCTGGGGAAATTGAGTAAGGCCCTGTGGCCCTGATTTAGTGACTGGCTCCTGTTCCTACCCTCAAAAAGAAGTTGTTTCCTGAGTCTTCATCCATGTGGGTTTGGAGAAAAGTCTCTAAATCAGCACAGGGAGGTACGAAGGGTAACTAGCCCCACTCCCTGAATACTGAGATGGTACCGGAGTGGCAGGCAATCCCAGCCTCCTACAGCTTCCCCACTTCAGCTTCTGTGAAAACCTCTGTTCTTGTCCTGGAGAAAGAAATGGCTGAAAGACATCCCTCCTTGGTTAGAACACTGGCAGCAGCAGGATTGTGCCATCCAATTCCCGGGGACCTTGCAAGATACATTGTGCCATTTCCACACCAGGAAGATGGATAGGCCCTACAATCTCAGTCTCACCTCCCTGGGTCACTACAGGGCTAGGTCATCAGCTTGGCCTGGACAAAGGCCTTTGGGGTGGCACTCTGAGTGGCTCCTGTCTGGACAGCACCATCAAGTGCACAGGAGGAAGAGGAACCTGCCGGGGTGAGAGGTAGTGGACACCAATTTAAACTCTGGTGCTGTCCCCTGTGACACAGAAGGTAGGGTGCTAAGCACACCAGACTGCAGGTGCACAGAGGGTGGGGCTGATGCATTCCCTGCTGAGGCAGGGACAGATTTAGGTGTCACTGGGACTGAACCATAGCTTTCCATGACCCAGCTATGTGTGAGGCTTCCAGGAAGCAATGGCCAAGATCTAAGTCTACATGGGGTGGTGGTGAACGTTGATGGGGGTCATCTGGGTGTAAGTGAAGACAACATTGGCAAACCTGAATTCTGTGCACATAGATAACATTGTAGGCTAAGCAACATGTGATGCAGGATACAGTCCTCTGTGTGGCTCTCCCATTCGCACAGGTTTAAAATCCAAGCTAAACAGAAAAATCTCCAGACATCAGTGAGCTTGTTACCATGAGTCCTGCTCAGGCTTTCTCTGCATCAGCTCTGGAGGCCATTGGAGCAGAAGGCTTATCCCTTCCACCTGCCTGGGCTCCTCCCCTACCCTCAGGTGAAGGAATTCCATTCTGTCTGGGCTATATAGCCCATTCAGCTGGCACTTAGCAATGGGACAGGTCCAGGCCCCACCTTCGCCTCACCTGTCAGACTCCCAGCTTCTGGGAAAGGGGGGCTGTAGACATCAATGCTCCCCAAGATTCTGATGCATGCAGAATCCTAATGCCACCTCAGGGCAGAGTACCACACCTGGGCTCAGCATGAGCTGCAGCCAGGCTACTGGCTGAGTGGTCTACTGGTAGCGACCCTCCAGGGGAGGGCTCAGAGGAGGACATGGACATTTTGGTTGCTGGGGAACTCAGAGGACCTGTCCTCTCCATGGGATGCTATGACAAGGATCTAGGACCACCAAGGGGGCCATCCCAGAACCACCCAAAACATGGCCAGGCTCAGCTGGCCCCTGTTGCTACCACTTCTCTTCCTTTCCCAGCTACTCTAAAGGGGGATTTATTAGAACAGAAGGCTTCCCTTCCACAGATGAAGCAAGCCTAAGGATTTGGCAGCACAAATGAATATCTGGAGATGAGAATGCTCTGCCCATCCTCACCCCAGGTGGGTAGCCAAACTTCACTTTGTGTTGCTATGACAAAGTACCCAATGCTGTGTACTTTATAAAGAGTAGAGGGCACCCATATACTGGTGAGGCCCCCTGGCTGTCTCAGGGTGGTGGGGAAACAGAAAGGGAACTTGCTGGGTTCAGAGGACCAAGAGTGGGCACAGTATAGGAGGAAACAACCACACTGAAACCATGGTGCTGTGGTACTCATTTGCTAGAATGTAGTTTTCTTTGTGATTCATGTTACTGTCTCAGCACTTTCCTCAATCCCAGTGTGTCCTGGGCACCGCCACACTGATGCCACCTTTCCTGATCCTTCTATGTCATTGGTCCTCTAAGACCCAAGCCCGGCTCCCATCTCCCATACCCATACTTCCTGTGTGTTATAGCCTTCTATCCCCCTTCAGGTGGGCATCTATGGAATGACATTGTTGGCACCTGCTGCTGTCTTCCATGTTTGTTGCTGTATTTTCCTCTCAATTGGAGAACTTTGGGCAGTTGTGCTCTTCTTCCCATCCACAAACTCCAGATCATGTGGCTGGACTTCCTCAGTATTCCTATGCTTTTTTTACCAGACCATTCTTCCTTGATGGTTGTATCAGTCAACTTTCCATCACTTATAAGCTCAGCCTCACAAAGCTACAGGGCATGCACAAAATGAAGACAAATTATTTAACAGAATATAACATGCATGGCCTCTAGTCCAATTCCCAACAGAATCCTCATTCCCATTTGAAACCTCCTGAGCCTGGCCCTTACTGTCCTCATTCCTATCAGCATTCTGGTCCTCTGGGCTCTGACTATTATTTCCCATCAAGCTCAGCTTACAGCACTCTAGAGTTTCCTCTAGCCAGCGTCTCCAAACCTTTCTAACTCCTCCCTCAAATCAGGTCCAAAGGCTTCTGGACTAAATGGTGAAGTATATCATGGCAATGATCTTACTCTTAGTACTAATTTTCTTTAGAAATCAGCCTTTTGTTGCAGCACAAAATTCCTGACACAAGGAGGAGATGTTTATTTTGGCTTATGGTTTCAGGGATTTCAGTCCATGGTCAGCTGGCTCCAAGGCAGAAACATCATGGTAGAGGGGCCCATCACAACCAGGAAGCAGACAGCAGTGAAAGAGGCCAATAAAAAGAAGGCCAAGGACAAAATCTAATCCCCAAGATCATGCCCCATGACCCACCCAGACACACCAAGAAGTGTGCTTTACTAATCTCCTAAGCATCTCTCAAGCCAGTCAAGTTGACAATGAAGATTAATCACCACAATGATCAAAACTAAAAGTGTCAGTGATCCCAAGAGTTAATCCAATGGTCACCTCCCAGCAGAAGCTCTAGCCAACACTGCCATTATGGCAAACCTGTGGCTGCTCTCTTGCACCTGTGGCCTATACATGTCTGCAGTAGGAGTGATGTACTGCATAGGGCCAGCCCATCTCAATGTATCTCCAATCTCTCCTGGCCCACCCACATTACCACATTGTTGGTGGATTCAACCACTAATGAGTTCAGGGCTGAATGTGTTGTTTGGAGGTGGGTCCTGGTAGGGGGTAGATCATTGCTTCCTGGCTGCCATAGGTTGAGCACTTTTTCATTGTCTATGCCCCTTTGCCATCCTATTTCTTCCTTGAAACCAGAACACCACCAGTTCAGAGGGATTGAACCCTCTGAAATACCCAAATAAACTATTCCTTTAAGTTGTGGGTTTCAGGTATTTTGTTCTAGCAGTAGGAAACTAAGACACACACCTACACCATCTGGTGAGATGGTTTCCCTGAAGGTAGATGCCTTCCTCTGAGAAACCTCTGACAAGTGCTCAATATCCCTGGTCAATGGAGAAATGCAGATCAAAACCACAACGAGACTGCCTCATACCCATTAACTACTCAAAACAGCAATAGTAAAGATGAGAGCAAACAAGTGTTGGCTAGGTTTGGAGAAACTAGAACTCCTGTGCACTGTTGATGGGAATGTAAAATGGTACAACTGCTGTAGAAAAAATTGGCAGTTCCTCAAAAAGCTAAAGATAGAATTACTGTATGGTCCAGCAATTCCACTAGTTCACACACAAAAAATATACATTTATACACAAGAAAAATGAAAGCAGGCATCAAATAAATGCTTGTCTACTCATATTCATAACAGCTACTCATGATAGCAGAAACGGGAAAGTAATCGTGGTGTCCCACTGTGGGTGGTAGATACAGAAAATATGGTATATCCATATAGTGAAATAGTACACACCTTAAAAACGGAGGCAATTCTGATTCATACTACATTATGAGTGGACCTTGAGGATACAATGATTAGTGAAATGAACCAGCCACACAAGGACAAATAATGCACAGTTCCATGTCTCTGAGAGCCATGGCACAGTTTGATTTATAGCGGAGAGGGGAGAGTGGTGGCTGCCAGAGCCAGGATGGAGGTGGTACGGGAACACAGGACTTGTTGTCTGATGGGTACAGAGTTCCAGTTGAGGAGAATGGAAAAGGTCAGGAGGTAGAAGGTGACGAGTATACTTAATGTTATTTACTATGCTTTGAAATATGGCTAAAATGTTGAGTTTTAGGTTATGTATATTTTACATTTTATTTTCAAAAAACAAAACCAAACAAGCCATATGTCCAGTTCAATGAATTCCATCTGCTCACAGAAATACTTTAATTCAGCTTTGCCTGAAGTAAGCTGCCTCAACCCCCCTCTATGTTCCCCTAAATCCACAAACAAAGGAGCAGGGCACAGAAGGAGCAGAACTGGGGACTCTAAGCCCTGTGGGAGGCAGGACAGCCTGCTCAGCACAATGGCAGGTGACTATGCCTGACCATACAAAGAAACACAGCAGAAGAGGAAGCCACAAGGTCACCAAGACTGGCCCAAGTCCCCACTGCTGTCCCCGCATTCCATACGTGGTGCTCCCAGATGCTTTTCATGTCCTGAGTACACAACCTCCTTTGCTGCTTCCTGTGGGTCCTAACCTCATGAGCTATTCCAGCCCAGGCCCCACTGGTCCTCATCTTACAGCTTCTCCTACCTACTTCCTGGGACAAAGCTCACAGCCTTCCTCTGCCTGCCTCCTGTGATCCTCAAAGTGCCCATGGTGGTCACTGTGTCCTCTGGGAGAGGACCCTCAGGTCCCACTCAGTTCCAGGCCAGACTCACTTCTTAGTCCAACAGCACCCTGAATCCTGCTACACTCACACACCATGCCTGCTCATTCACTGTTCGTCTCCCTTGCCTGCTCAAAGCTCAGATTTGAAGGGAGGAGTCATATCTGCTGACATCCTACTGGGCCAGGGCCAGCACTGTGCCCAGAACCAGGCAGGACATTAGCCAACATCATTGGTTTGGGCAGTATTCTTGTTTTTAACTGTTGGATTGAAGCCAGAAAAAAAGAGACAAGAGACAGGGGGACTGTAAGTTTTAGTACAGCCTGGGCAACGTAGTAACTTTGCAAGGCTCTGTCTGAAAATAATTAATAAAGGAAGGAAGGAAAGAGTGAAGGGAGGAGGAGGGAAGAAAGAAAGGGCTGAGATGTGAAACTGCTCGTCTCCATTTCTCACTTTCTGAACTCATTCTGGGACACAAAACTGCTCCCTGCAGCCCAGCAAGCCGCAACCCACAAACGGGGTCTCAGAAACAGCCTGAGAACAGATGTCCTGCAATTCTCAGGAAGAGTTCCCATTTTTCAAATGATCTTTGATCAGAAATTCTACACCTGCCAAGGAAGGAGGCCAAAGCCTTGCTCACCACTCACAGTGACATCCAAAACCTTGATTAGAACCGAATTATCATTTGGCTTTGAGATGGGGAAGTGATGAGGACATTAGGCAAATTGTGTTAAAAGTGGTGGAAGAGCCTGAATCCTGTGTTCCTTTCCACAGAGAGACCACAGTCTACCACCATCTTCCAAGGCCATCGGTGGCGCTCAGTACCAAGTGGTAAGGCCAGGTTGGCACCTGGGTTTTAACTTTTAAGTCATCTAAGAAAAACCAAGTGTACTATCCTTCCGGATCAGGACGGTAAATTAAGGCAGTTATTTTATCTCTCTTCCTTACTTTCCCTCAATCCAGATCAAAGAATCTAATTCTATTTCCATAGATGGAGACATAAATATTATCACACAGACAAATGGCTCTACAACATAAACCACACTTTCAGGTTTATTCTGTAGTAGGACTGGAACATCAGTACCAAGCACAGAGGAGCTTTAGAAAGTCCTAGAGCATCCTTGGTCACTGGGCCTCTGCACAGCACAATCTGTTTCTCTAAGGTCTTGGAAAGAAGTGACTCCAAAGAGTCCAGGACGTCAATTCAGCCATGCCCCTGAAAGTTCCCACAGCTTCCTTTGAGCAAGTTCTTGAGGCTCCAGAACCTTCAAACCATTAGACCCCAGTGAGGCACATTTGTTAAGGGGACTACTGTGTCAGCCCAGGACATGTAATGCTCATTGGAAAGGCTGTGCTCTTACATGCTACACAGAGAAGAGTAGGGCAAGACCAGCAGAAAGAAAGGAGGAAGCAATACCCTCAAATGTCCACATTATATCTGAAGCTAATCTGCGTCCTTCTGGCTATTGACAGGAGATGCAAGGGGAAGGGTTTTCTAAGTAAATCTGAGCCCATGCTAATGGATCTGGAGAAGATTTTCTAGGTCCCACATAACCTTCTGTGTGACTCCTTTCTTCTTGCCATCTAGGCAAGATGCTTCCACACCAGGTAAGATGCATAGGTCTAAAGATACATTCTTATTTAAACCAAGAGCCTTCTGGCCTTTTAACAGAAACTTGTATCAGAAGGAATCTATGTTGAAAAAAAATTCTTATTCTCCATGAATAAGTTCTTAAATGAACTTGCCAATCACTTAAGTCGTCCACCACGTTGTACAGAGTGCCTCTTCCACCCTCCCTCTTAGCAACAGGGACTCTGTATGAAGAATAGTTCCAGACCTTGGAAATAGGCAGAATGGGACTGGGGTCCTAAAGACAAGGGAAACAAACAGGCGACCCTAAGATTTACCGATTTATTGCCTGGAGGCAATTTCCTGGCTGCAGGGCAGGGATGTGGAAGCCAAACAGAGTCTGGCAATCTGGGTTTGTGGCCCCAGAAATTAGAGTTTCAAGGGATCAGGAATTCCAACATTTGCAGACAGAATGTTGAGGAAAAGGGCTTCACAGAAAAAAATCTGCAAATCTTTGGCTGAATAATGATATTTATATGTGTGAGAGGAACTTGCCAGTATCAGGAAAAGAACCACCAGAGGTGCACAGACAGAGGCATCCCCAGAGTTTACTCGAAGCTGAGAATCGTTCATGTCAAATGCCCCATGAGACTCAGGGAAGTGAGTAGAACCTTCAGCGAGCCATCACCTCCGTAATGGGGCTCAATAAATCTTAGAGTATGAGCTCATTGCATCTGCTTTTAAAACTCTTGAAAGTAATCTTCTAAAGTTGCAGTGCCCCATATGGTAAATGCCAGGTAAATGTTGCTATTTATAATCAAGTTTAGACCCTAAATTTCATTGGTCACATAGAAGGTGGCTCACAAGCCACAGGAGAGTAGTGACCACCATTTAGACAGCATCGATTAATAGGACATCTTATTTCCAAGTGAGTGCCGGTTTCCGGTAACTTAGCTGTTCACAAGACACATTGTAAATCCATTTAGAGGAATACTACACCTAGTACTTTGGGAAGCTGAAGCAGGAGGATCATAAGTTGGAGCCCAGCCTGGGCAACTTAGTAACTTAGCAAGATCTTGCCTCAAAAAAGTGAACTGATGGATAAAGGAATATAACAAAACCCAACAACCAACAATGTAACAATCACAATGCTCAGTATATAATCAGATATTACAATGCTTGCAAAAAAACCCCAGGAAGACAAAGTTCATAACCAAGAAAAGAAAATCATCTGTAAGTGATAGATATGTAAGGGAAAGAAATGATAAATTCACAGACAAAGGCAAATGAAAGCTATTTTAAATATCTTCTATATATTCCAGAATGTAGACAAAAATCATGGTGAGGAGAGACGTGAAATATAAAAAAATGACTCAACTTCTGGTTCTTCCCCCAAAGTCAACATGAACAGAAAAGGTAAACATTTGAAATCCATTCAGGACATTGACATAGCCAGGACACCACAATCGGAGACCCTCATGAAAGAGAACTTCCAGACCTGCTTCAGAAAAGGGGAGGGAATGATGGGATAAATGTGCTTGAAGCAAGGAGGAGGATTTTGAGAAGAACTGATGGCAATGTGTCTCTTACTATAGTTTTCTTTGAAAAGTTTTTTTAATTCACTTTTTCAGTTATACCTCGTATAAGTTGCACACTTACTCCCATTTACCTTAAATTATTTCTGGAGGCTTTATAAAACCTAAAGTAGTGTAAGTGCTGGGTAAATCATTGTCATACTATATCACTGAGGGGAAAATGACAAGAAGAAAAGCCTGTGCATGTTCAGTAAGACACAGTTTTGTATTTTTGACATAGTAGGTTGAGCATCAACCATCTTACACAGAAAGGGATGGGAACAAATTGTATCTGTACCCAGAATCAACAGAGAACTTGTTGATTTCACATTCGCAGGAATACATTTAAAACTGCAGAAGAACAGAAGACATTTAAACAACCCAT